GATCCTAGAAGCATTGAGAACTACAGCATTGAGTCCTTTTGCCTTAATGTATTGAAATGAAGTATGTGATGTTGACTTTGTGATTCAGGGATCCATTCCCTGGGATGATTATTGGGAATGGGGGTGGGGGTGGGAGTGGTGGTAATGCCTGCCTTTGACAGGGTTGTGTTTTGAATTTTATTGTGATTGCTGGGTGGAGATAGATGCTGTGGAGAAGAGAGTCGGTACGTTCCCCTCCATCTCTTTTAATCTTCTCCTGTAAATCTCCAAGGTGATCATTCTGTCCTCCCCACAAACCAACACCTGGCCCTGTAGCATCCAGGTGTAATGTATAATAGATTCCACCAACATACAGTCCATCCCCCCCCCCACATGCAAATATATATAAATATATATACATATACATAATACATCTTCATTTTTTGTTATTGCTGGAGAGAGGCCACATAATCCAGAGTCAATGATTCAACTTCAGCCTACAAGAACATTGGTGAGAACCAATTTTGGCTCCTGAGTGCAGAGGGGTGGCTTCCAATTCTACTAGAATTCCACTGCATACTTGAGATTCCTGCTGGATTCTACTTTGCAAGGTTCAGCTCGGTTCCCAAGTCTCGAGGCTATAGAAGTGGTTGTGAGTGGGGGCACCCATGGCCAACATCTATTCTAAAGGTTCCTCATCTCCATTGAACCTGTTCACCACTCTTCCAATGCTGGGAGGATGAGTTCCTATCCTGCTAGATGCTTCTCTTGGCTCCTCCATCACCATCGTATTAGATTCATACTTATAGAATCTAGCTTGGGTTGACATTTGATGTTTGTTTTGACTTAATTCCACCCATTCTGAGAAAACTGGCATTTTGTGCCATCTTCATTCTATCTCCAGATGTTTTTTTAACCCAGGATTCCTAGACTTTCTTCCTCTTTGGTACCTTCCTCCCCCAAAGGAACTGTACCTCATGTTGTGAGCAGAATCTTTTGAAATGAATGTATTAAATCCTGTGTTGCCTAAGATTACCTTATGGCATTCAGGCAGATCTGCCCCACATGTTCTCTCTCTGTCGCTCTCTTTCTCTGTCGCTCTCTCTCTCTCACACACACACACAACACAACACACTTCCTTTACACCTTCCTCTACCAAATCCGTTACCCTGGGCTGGAGGTCTTGACTCTGCCTTCAATGCCTGTGCAGAGTAACTAATGTAATTTACTGGTTTTATTTGCAAATATAAACTTTATGGGATACAGAGGTTCTCTGTAGGTGTCTTTGCATCCATTAATGTGTTTTAAGACAACAGGAAGACCCTTGGCTATAACCAAGTATTTGCAATGTTCTTCACTATCGATACTTGGAACAGTAACACAGAAAACCAGGCAGAGATCAAAAGCAATGCCCTGAATTGGGAATTTGGGAAGGCAATGGCAGAGTTTTGCCAACTGGTTCTCCTGGTAGTTTGGTTACAGCTTCTGAATGCTGCAGTGAAGAAGAGGAGCAGTGGGGTTAGTTTTGCTCACGCTTTGAACTGTATTTCACTTTTAGTGCTGGCAACTCATTTATCAGTTTAGTTCAGTAGCAGCACTAATACGGGCCTTGAAAGCAAAACTCACCTTATTTAACAAAGCCACATTGTAAACTTTCTCAAAACCTAAGTATCTTGATAGAATTCCTCTTGTTCAAAGATGGGTCTTCTCTCACTCATGAAAAAAGAGGTAGAAGACTTTCTCTCTGTCTAAAAGAGTAGAGTTATTCTCTTTGTGTCTTTTTTCAACCTTTCAGGCCTGTTTGCAGGGGAGTAAAAAGAAAAGTCAAAATGCCATAATCATGTGATCAATGCCCTGACCTTTTTAAACACATCTGTAAAAAATGGGGAGGGGTTCTGATTGCATGGATATTGCCACTATTTTGATTTTTTTTTAAATAATACCACCCCAGCCATTGCCCATAGACAACCCTGCCTAAAACACAACTTAAAATTTAGTGCTAACCAAATGGTGGAAACAAATTAGCGTGCAATTTGAGAAAATAAAATAACTTCATTAAAACCCAGGATCCCCAGATTCTGGCAATGCTGCCTTGAGTGGAGGGGAAGGGGATAGAGTAGGCAGACCAGGTCCCTGGGGATAAGTAAATGGTTTGCTGTATGGTGAGCTTTAATACTACATTCTCTTTAGTGATTCACAGTGTTCATTGCCTTGATGTTTGACTCTTATTTCTGGCTTGCAGTCATAATTTTCTATTTCCCTCCATGCTCCAACTTTTCTGAGTTGGGGATCACTACAGACCATTGCAGAAAACTGGAAAAAGCACCTTACAGGTTTTTTGCCACTGCTAAGTCAGTGTAGGGGAAAAGAAACCAGTGGCCAATTTGGTCAGGCTATTTTTAAATATGAACCCACCCATAAGTCTTTGATGCCCCGGGTTATTTGCAGCAGATTGACAACAACATCTAGTTTAGAATATTAGACCAAGCAAAGAGAGAGTGGGGTGGTCTCCCCCTCCCCCCAATTAAGTGGTTCTGCACAATTGAGATGAAGCTTTCAATTGTGTACACACAAATTATTCTAGTTTATTTAGTGAAGTTGTTAATTGGTTTTGTTGCCATGCCAGTATTTTACACTAAGTTACTGAACCTCTGGGTTGTACTAGTAACAAATAAGCTCCTTTCTGCCAGAAATTTGGTTATGCTTGATTTAAGATACTCATAAGATGTCCTCCCAATGGCCTGCTTAGGCACCAGGCAGAAGAGATGATTAGAACATTATTCAAAGAACACTTGTTAAGGAATTAGATTGCAGAGCTTAGAGTTTCTTCCCCAAATGTTTTGACTTGGATAGGCCAGTTCTATCAAAGCCTCTATCAATCCTTGCCATATCTTCCTGTTCAAAGTCTCCACCACCCCCATTAGTAATGTCCCTTATTAACACTGGAAGTCATTAGATGTGCAGGTAGTCCTTGACTTACAACCACAATTGAGCCCAAAATTTCCATTGCTAATCAAGATAGTTGTTAAGTGACACTTGCCACATTTTATTATCTTTCTTGCCACAGTTGTTAAAGAGAATCATTGCAATTGGTAAGTAGTAATACGGTTGTTAAGTGAATCTGACTTCCCTATTGACTTTGCTTTCAGAAGGTTGCAAAATGTGATCTAATGACTCCAGGATACTGCAACCATCATAAATACATATCGGGTCCCAAGGGTCCAATTTTGATCACATGACTATGGGGTTGCTACAGCAGTTGTATGTGTGAAAAACAGTCCTACGTCTCTCTTTTAGTGCTACTGCAACTTTGGTCACTAAACAAATGTTTGTAAGTCGAAGACTACCTGTAGTAACCTGTTCACATTAAGCATTAGGAACTGTCTAGTGTTCTGAATGAGAATTACTGAAATACAATATAGACTGAATTTGAATACAGAAGAAAAGATTGGGTGGAACAGTGAATGAAATATCTTTTATAACAAATCCCATGCAGATAATATCACTGCAGAAGAGTTCATGGCTGGGGATTACTGTTCTTCAGACTCTCAGAAATTTAGCCCAGGAGCAAGAAGACAAGCCACAAGAATCACCTAGCTTGGTAAGATGGACAACATGCCTACAATAGGTGAGCTAGTAGTTCTGAGCAGTGCGGCCCTGTGGTAATTTTTGTATGATCCTTGGACTATTTTTGCCTAATACAAAGCTAATAAAATAGGGCATTTGGAAGAATCCCAAGAGCAGAAGTATCCCACTGTCCTGTTACACTAATTACTTGATTACTTTGGGGGTGCTATTTCCCATTGCCAAAATAGTAGGCTTGGAGGCACCCAGAGAGGACTCTATTTCCATTGTCCAGTTCTAGGTTAGAGACTACCTTATAGCTCACCCCCTTTCAATTAACCAGAACATAACTATTCTGATATAGAAGGAACATGCAATCATGACTCCAGTGGGAAAGCATTATTTTTAATAACATTTTGGAAAAGAAGCAGCAGAATACAGGGCCAAGTATTTCAGCTCAGTCTGATTTCCCCAGTTACAACTCTGTAGAAGGTATAAATGTGTTGGACTATTGCTCCCATAGCCGTTAATTATATTACGCTGAATGTAGCTCTGGGAACTCTGAAGCAGGTGAACATCAAGGTTGAAGTTGTTGGCTCCATTGCCAACGGCAAGGGTGGGGGGCATTCAGAATATAGCAGATGACCAGGATGCCAGAGGCCAATACAACATCCATATCATTATTGACTATAGTTTATTATAGCATTTTAAATTTATTATACATAGTACACAGTTGTACAGTTAAGACACTTGTGTTGTAATTTTTACTTTAAAATGTAATTTATTACTTTCTGGAACCAAATGGTGCTTATTCTGAAGTAAGATATATGATTGCCTAAAGCAATCTACTATTAACATTATAATTACATTTGTGTCTAAAATTATTTAGCTGCCTGTGTTGCAGCCATGAACTTCTTGCCCAGTAATAGCTGAACCATACAACTGGATAAGGAGAGTTGGGGGGAGGGGGCACACACTACTTGGGGAAGCTATATGCAAATTGTAAATCAGAACATTCAGCAATATAACTTTCTATGAAGATTCTAAAATTAAGGATCCTCTGATAAATTTCAGATGTTAACATTTACTCAGAATAGGTCAGGCACCAGGGGGTGGATGGGAGGGAGAAAACATAACCTGTTTCAATTTTTCCAGCAATTTGCATGCATGAAAGGATTGGGTGGTTTTTTTTTAAAATTAAAAATAAATAAAAACTATATCAAACAAGCAGAAATGAAGCAATGATGTTTCAATCTATACAAATTCGCCATTACAGAAAAGAAAGGGGACTAACACAAACTTGGCAACAATTGGAAATTTAAGCTGCAAGAAATCAATTACCACAACTGTATGGTCTTTCTAGAGCAGTATTTCTTAACCTTGATGACTCTTAAGATACATAGATTTCCAACTCCCAGCTGAAATCCAAACATCTTAAATTGGCAAAGTTGAGAAACATTGTCCTAAACTTTTCTGCTTTTCACACAATTAAAAAGACTGTCTTGTTCCACAGTTTCATTGTGAAATAGTAACAGCATTTTGGAAAATAAATCTTCCCACAGACTCACCCACAAAGGTGTGACAGTTCTTTCCAAGGTTGTGTACTTTGGAGACAGGCAGGCAAAGCAGAAAATATATATTTCAGAGGTCCTCTAGGGGGCACTCTCTTTCCAAATGTGTGATTAGAAAGACCAAGAATAAAAGCCAGGAATGTAAGCTTTCAGGGGAAACATTCTCCTAACTTAAAAAAAAGAAAAAGTAGATAAATCCAAAAGCAGGACATCATCATCATGTTTTGCTTGGCTTTGGATTCATATCCTTCCTAGGGGTCAGATGCCATCCAAGTGACTGGCTTCCCAGGAATCACTGAGTGTGTCCAGCAGACGCTGGCGGGCTAAGGACCTTCGAAGGTGCATGCGATAGTCCTCCATTACCAGGTTATCCCAGCGTCGCAGCACAAAATGGTTTTCACCCAAGGTTAATCCAGAACATAACAGCTGATTCCGAGTTCGGAAATCTGATACCGTGATCAGCCACCTGCATAGGAAGACAAGAAAAGGGAGATGGCTGACGGACATGGTTTCATCAAGCTTCATTAAGATGGGGGGAGTTTCCGCTGCTTCTTCCCCAGGACCCCATGGCTCAACAAGTTTAGAACAATCCATTTAAAAGTTCAGAATGACCCCTTTCACTGGGCCAGTGCAATAAGCAAAAATGGCATAGATGGCACAGAGACAAACAATTGAGTGTGTCTGAAGCAGAGCTGGCTATTCTCAAAAGCAGGGCCGAACAAAACTCCCCAATTATCGAAGGCTAACTTCCCCAGTTAAGCAAAAGCATTCAGGTCTGTTTTCAGAAACTTGGTATGCTACTAGGTTGAATATTCAGTTTTTATAGTATACAATTTTACACCCCCTCCCAAGGGTTGCCTGTTGGAGACAAAGGCTGTATATCCAGGAGGCCGCCTGTATCCTTTGTCTAGATTAGAATTTCTCTTCTTTTATGACAAGGCTGAATAATTTATACCAACCTGCCAAAAGTTGCCACTCAACTGATATGTTTAATGCAAAAGAAAAGAGAAACTCTTAAATACATCGAGAAAAATGGTGCCTGGCCTGGCCTAGATTATGCATTATTCATCTGCTAGATCAGTATTTTTTAAAATTTGGCAACATTAATGGGTGTGGGCTTCAACTCTCAGAAATCCCCAGTGCTGGCTAGGGAATTCTGGGAGTTGAAGTCCACACCTCTGAAAGTTGTAAAGTTTGCAGAATACTGAGCTAGATTGTGTCCTCAACTTTCATGCCTTTAATTGAATGCATAATTGTAAAGAGCATAAATGAACATATATTAACATTTACTCAACTAAAATAACTCCGTTCAAGAACCCAAGGCTGGGTTGGTATAACATATTTAGTTTTGTTACTGAATTAACTTGTTTTTCCAATTTGCACAATATATTGGGTTATAACCAAACAGTACGGGTTCATCAATGCAGTATTTTTTTTAAAAAAGGACTAAAGCTAAGCAAGCTTACTATGTTTTCTAAATGCATTCACCCAAGCTTTTGCTGGTCTGCCCAGACAGGTTGTGCAAACACAGATAAAATGGAGCTCTAAACGTTAGTGCAGCGATGGCGAACCTTTTTTGGCTCACATGCCATAAGTGGGGGAGTGCAGGGGGGGTCGTGTGCAGGTGTGCCACACCCATAATGCAATGCGCGACCCCCCCAGTGCTCATGCGTGCATTACAGGCGCTCCCTCCATTTTTTGCATGCTTTTTTCGCCCTCCCCAGGCTCCAGAGGCTTTATAGGATCCTGGGGAGGGTGAAAACAGCCTCCCCCACCCCCAGAAGCCCCCTGGAGGCTTCAGGGACCTTCAGGAGGCTTCCCTGAAGCCTCCGGAGCAGTCAAAACGAACCTCCGAGCAAACTGGAAGTCATTTCCGGTTTGCTCGGAGGGTCATTTTGAGTGCTCCAAAGGCTTCAGGGACCTCCAGGAGGCTTCCCTGAAGCCTCAGGAGCAGTCAAAATGAACCTCTGAGCAAACCGGAAGTCTATTCCGGAACTTCTGGTTTGCCCATATGGCTGTTTTTTTTGCTCTCTGGAAGCTTCAGGGAACCTCATAAAGCTTCTGGAGCCTGGGGAGGGCGAAAAATGGCTTTTAAAAAGGGTGAACTCAGCTGGCCAGTGTGCGCTGGCCAGCTGGCAAGGCAGCACCTCGCGTGCCCTGACAAATGGCTCTGCGTGCCACTTGTGGCACGTGTGCCATAGGTTCGCCATCACTGCGTTAGTGTGTCTCATAAGAGTCAGGACTAAAGTAGATCAAATGATCAATCCCAAATTTTATACAGTTAGCTGTTCAGAATCACTAGACTAGAGATGGATGACCATATGACTGATTGATTGGTTGATTGACTGACAGTCTGTGACTGACTGACTGATTGATTAGATAGGTGATAGGTTAGATTAGGTGATTAGATTAGATTAGATTAGATTGAAGAGAGAAAGGGGAAGAGGAAAGAGGAGAATTCTGAGAGTTGAAGTCTATACATCTTAACGTTATCAAAAATGAGAAACACTGATCAGACTGCTTAGTCAGTGAAGGAAATTACACATTGTCTCAACTAAGCATTTTTTAATGATGCCATGAGCCATGCAAGCCAAGTAAATCTGGGTGACCAAACTGATTTCCCTTAGTCCAGAGGATTAGAGGATAGAGTAGTTGAATATCTATACCAACCTGTTCTTCCGCCCAGCAGTTCCACAGATTACATTGATGTTTTCAAATTGGATGCTGTGTAGCAGACCTGCTTCAAAGGCATTGGGGATGACAGCTTCTATGGCTGCCAGGATTTCAGCATGCGTCATCTCCTTTTCAGGCTAAAAGTCAGAAGGGATGCTCAACCATTGAAACCCATCTCCTCTCCCCCATCAGACACACCTGCTAAGAGCCTTTTAAGTTGTTATGGCTTGTGTATTATAGTTCTACCCTATCTTTGTTCTTGGACCTCTGATTTTCTGCTATTCCCTTATTTTTCCTTCACAACATCTTATCAGGTAGGTCAAGCTGAGAGATTGGGATCACTCAAGATCACAGAGTCAGAATCATGGCTAGTGTTTTTCAATCATGTGAAACTATAATACCGCTCAGGATTCCCAGAAAACATGGCTAACTGCTTTGCCATCCTCTATTTCATACTACAGGTAGTCCTTGACTTACAACCATTCATTTAACAATGGTTAGAAGTTACAACAACCTAAAAAAAATCTTACAATGTGTCCTCAAAGTTATGACTGTCACACAACTTCCACTGTCAATTAGATGGTTGGCAACTGGCTAGCATATATGATTGGGCAGCATCTTGCAGTCACATGATCATGATTTATGGATCGTCCTAACTTGCTTCTGACAAGCAAAACCAATTGGGGAAGTCAGATTTACTTAACCATAGTAAAACCGGTTATAAGATTGGGTCCAGTCAATTTTACAAACGCAGTAATTTATTATTCAGTTTTGGGACAGAAACAGCATTGGTCACACTTTATGATCTCTGGTGAGAGAAGGATAGAAGGATAGTGCAACCATCTTTGCTCTTCTTGATCTCTCAGCAGCCTTCAATACCATCAACCATGGTATCCTTTTGTGCCAGCTGCAGGGTTTGAGGCTGGGTGGCACAGTTTTGTGTTGCTTTGGCTCCATTCTCTGAGGGTGATCCTAATCAGTGTTTATAGGGAGTGAGAAGTTCAGCCCACAACCACTCCTGTGGCATACCATAGGGCTCTGCACTCTGTCAACTCTTTTTTAACATCTATATGAAGAGCTGGTTGAGATCATTTGCAAACAAGTTGAGGTGTCATCAATATGCTAATGATACTCAACTTTATATATCTACCCCTGGTGATCCAAGTGATGCCATTGCCACTCTCTTGCAGTTCCTGGAGGCTGGATGGGGAATAATAGACTACAACTGAACCCTAGCAAAACTGAATGGCTTTGGGTGCATAGATTCCGGGCTTTACCCAATTTAGTTCTGGATGTGGTTGCACTACTCCAGACAGACTCAGTTCACAACTTGACGGCTCTCCTGGTCTGTGACTCCTGCTCGAAGAGCATTTGGCAGTCGTGGCTAGGACAGCCTTTCCACAACTTTGGTTGGTGCGCCAGTAGTGGCCTTTCCTGAATCAGGAGTCTCTAGATCAATCAATCAAGCCCTGGTCATCTCATGTCTGGATTACTGCAATGCATTCTATATGGGACTACTCTTGGAAGAATATTTGGAGGCTTCAACTAGTGCAGAGTGCGGCAACATAAGCAGTTCCTGAGGTCCCTAGGACGACCTATGTTACACCACTTGCTCTGCAAACTGCACTGGCTGCCAGTCTTCTTCCGGATGCAATTTAAAGTGTTGGTTATTATCTTTAAAGCCCTGCATGGCATGGGTCCAGGTTACTTGAGGAACAGCCTCACCCCACTGGGACTGCTCTGCCCCACCTGCATCAGCAGAGGAGGCAAGTTGCAGGCTCCATTGCTCAAAGAATTCCAGCTGGCGGGATGCAGGGGAAAAGCCTTCTTTGCCATGGCTCCTGCCGTATGGAACATCTTATCTCCTGAGGTGAGATTGGCTCCCACCCTTCTGTACATCCGCAAGAGCCTGAGGACCTGGTTATGGCAGATGGCCTGGGGCCCTAATGGGGGAACATCACATGGAGGTGGTTGTTGAATTAAGAGCCAATCCCACCTCCCACCACTCCACCATACATTCTATTCTCTCCTCGTTGTCCTTTGCCAATATCTTGATTGGGATATCTATTTTTACTCTTTTAAATATATTTATTTGTTAGATTTTTAATATTTGAATGCTGGAAGCCACCCAGAGTTGTTTGCTATGAGATGGGCGATGAATAAATACAATAAATAAAATAAATAAAAATGGAAACAATAAAATAAATAAAAATGATGGAAACTGGAAATGTAAGTGGAGGACTACCTGTTTGTTTGAATATGGAAATTTCATTAATTTCTCCATTGGGTTGTTCAGGCTTCTTCCCACAAAGTCTACTTCCTCCTTTCCCACCCTATCTCCTTTTTCTTTTCTAAGCCAGCCAAGCTCTCAACATCATAGTGAATATCTCAATATGAGCCATAGTGGCACAGTGGTTAGAATGCAGTATTGCAGACTAACTCGGCCCAAAGTCAGGAGTTCAATCCTGACTGGCTCATGGTTGATTAAGCCTTCCAAGGTCGATAAAATTGTTATTTTTATTGTTAGGGGCAATAGGCTGACATTTTAAAACCCCTTAGTGCTGTATAAAAGCTACTGCTACTGCTATTTTTATTTTTTATTGTTATTATTTGTTTATTATTTTGAAAAATATCCAAAGTTAAGCTTAAATTGTCCACAAGTGAATTATGGACAGCTAATAAATTCCATTCACTCCAAAGAAATGCATTTTCTGGGCGTACAACTCTGATATCCACAAATATTGTCCTTTGTAAAATCTTTTAGTTGGTATAGCAACATAGTTTTGCCCAGATAGGTTATCACTTAAACTGCCAAAGTTTCTAATGTACCTTCAGACAGTATTGACTGACATGGTTGTTGTGATCACAATTATACTTTCACAAACACATGTTATGGATGTGAATAGTTGTCGTGAATTAAGTATACAAGTGAATGGGAGGAAATTGATCATTTTTTAAATTACAGCATTTCTAGGTGGGCCTATGTGTTCCTCTCAGGCCTCATGCACAGCTGTGCACAACAATGACATCTGCCTGGGCTTTCTCTTATTTTTAAAAAAATAAATTAATCTGCCTCAGCAAGCCCACAAAAGATAAATTCCCTACAACGCCACCATATCTAACTTCTCTCTGGGACATTGGGGGGCGGGGGGAATTAAATAGCAACTGGTTTTGCCTCTCAGAGCTCAGCTCTTCTCAGACAACTTAAAAGGGCCCTGACTCCGTTTCCCCCACTAAATTTAGACTAACCGGGTTCTCCAAACAAAGGCAAAGGGGTCGGGCAGCAGGCGGCCGAGGAAACTTGCGGATGCAAGGCATTTCCATATCCAAGGCTTCATATTCGGCAATGATCTTCTTCAGATACTGGCGCCTAAGTGGAGAGAAAGAAAGCTGAAGGCCCCGTTTTTAGTACAGAGTGTTAGGCTGCAGAGTCATCTGTTTTGATCCGGCTTCTCTCACCAGGAGAAGCTGAGAAAGTACTTCCTGACCAAGCAGAAGGACTCATTCCTATGTCAGAGGCAGTTTGGCATAGAAATGCAGCTCTTGTTCTCACTGTCCGCTTGTGCTCTTTCCAGAAGCCTCCGGTTGGCCATTGCAGAGCCAAGATGGTGGTCTGGATAGGACTTGGCCTGCCCCACCAGACTTCCTAAATCTAGGATAATGGACAATATTATATAGTGAACAAGTACGGATATTGTTTTTTTCATGCTCACCTACAGCCTCTCTTTTGATTAAGAGGCATATTGGAGGCCTCAATCCAATAACTGTGGCCACTGCCAAAATGGCCCCCGCTTCCAGAATAGAACCATAAGGCCCCTCCCTAAAGGAAAGCCATGTGGTGGATCAGTTACTTCTCCTTCCCAAAGGCAATCTTTAGAAAAGATATGGGAACTGGGAGGTAAGAGTAGAAGCCCAAGACTGTGGGGTCCAGTGGGATGGGAAATGGGGCATGGGATGCCCCAGAGTGGGGGAGACCTTCAGGAGTCAGCAGCAGACCAGTTGTGAACTGGAGAGGTGCTGCCATATGGCCTTGGACCTGCACCAGGCCTCCCAGGGTCTCCCCACCCCAAGGCACTCACTCCATCTTCCACTTAACAACTGGAACTGGGAGGAGTTGTGGTTGTTAAGCGAGGCAATCACTCATGTGATTGCCTCACTTAACAACCACCACTATTTATGACTGTAATGGGCAGCCTTTATTGCAGTCATAGATGACCTGTATTTAATTTTTTTCCCCTGTCCCATTAAAGATTAGAATTTAGTGGCAACTTTCAGAAATACTCCCTCTGAAGACTTTGGAGGAAATATGAGATCCTACTCCAATATCTTAGTATCATTACTAATATCCTGTCATACTGAGACATTGCTCTCTTGATAATGCCGTTGCTCAGGAAATTACATTCTAATTTACAGACCAATGATAAATCTTCAGGGGCTCTGAAGGACTGCGGCAGGATAAAGAATATTCCCTTCCTAGCAGAAGGAACAAGGGATATTGTGCTGCAATTCTGCCTCTGATAATCTCCTGTTTCTCCCTAATGTTGACTCCTTATCATTTCAAAGTCATACTCACGAAGTTTTTCGTGGAGGTGGGCAAGGTTGTTCCAACTCAAGAAAAAGGGATGAAACCCCTTCACTCTCAGTTTCTGGAACTGAAAGCAAAATGGTTAGTGTTTACAATGTAATCTATAGTTGTTCTTCCACACATACAAAAAATTCAAAACATGAGAAGTATCTCCTGAACCCAGTCAAAAGCTCTCCATGTCCAGCATGCTTTTTTTTCATACTGGTGAACCAGATGCCCTGGGAAACACAGAAAATAAAGACCATTCAGGAGTTCTTATGGTTCACACTTTCATTTTACACACACACAGACACAAATGCTGGGCCACTTTCAGAGTTACATTTTGGGGGGTAAGTGGAAGTAGAAATCACTAAATATACAGTATTACCTAAGTTCTTGGACAAAAAGTGGGATATAAATCTAATAAATAAAACATAACATGCTACAGTATTTCTGGATAGAATTATCTAAACAGTTGCACAAATATTCCTGAAAAGGTTCTGAATTTGAATCAAAGTTTTGTCTCTTGTGTGAGACTTCTAGCTTAGTTGACCTAATCAAAAAATTGCAGTAAAGTAATAAACTTCAGATCTTGAACCACAAGGATAGGATTCATCTAACATGCTAAGCCAAATCACATTCAGGTTTGACAACATGTACAAACCCCACATATATTTATTTGCCCATATTTAACCGGTTATAGGATGGGGTAGAAAGATCCAGTCAGTTGTAAGATTAGAAAGAGTTTAATTTAATTTTTCACAACCCTGAATTGACTAGGCCAGCTGATTATTTTATATATTTATATCCCTCCTTTATTATTTTTTATAAATAACTCGGCAGCAAACAAATCTAACACTCCTTTCTCATATTTTCCTCCATAACATCAACCTTGTGAGAGAATTTGGACTGAGAGAGAGTGACTGGTCCAAGTCGGCCAGACAGCTTTCATGAGCAAGGCAGGACTAGAAATGACAGTTTCCTGATTTCTAGCCTGGTATCTTAACCACTGAACCAAACTGGCTTTGGGGAAGAGTTTGGGATTAACCCTTTCATATGAATCTCGGGACAGAAATGAAGTCCTTAGCAAACCTACAAAAACAGGCTTGCATTAGGAACTCCCATTGTTTAAAATGTCACCCCTTTTCTTCCCAAGCAGTAGTAAGCCTATCCCAGCTCCATGTGCATCAATCAGAGTCAGGTAGATTTTAAATAAAAAAAACTGATTTGAAAAATAAAGATATAGGAAATGACAGCTACACAGCTGCCCTGCAGGGACTGGCAATTTAGAGTTTAGAAAGTGGATTCCTTGTCTCCCTGGTGGGAATCTGTCATGTTATGCTCCTGGTATACAAGGATAAATATTTTCCGTGGGCACTATGTTACAACATAGAGTTGGAAGGGTATTCAGAAGTGTCAAGCTCAATCCTAAATTCTGTATCTTATCTTCAATACTTAATACTCTACAACTACAGCAATCCTGACAGGCAGAATGTATAAGTAATTCCAATAAGAAATAGCCTATTGCTTCTGTGACCAATTTGATTTGTTATGAATCTTACTTCGAAGACCTATTTCATAATAAATAACTTACCCTGTAATTTCTACCCCTTTGGATTTGCTCCAGTCTCCTTGAGCAATACAGAATTCATCTTTTCCATCGCAGAAGATGGGTCAACTCCAATTTCTACATGGGAGCCCTTCTTATATCTGTTTTCTCCCTTTAATGCAAGGCTGAATAACCTGCCACTTTTTAATAGTCCCAGAACCCTTTCTAACAAACTGCTGAACATTAGGCAAATGAAAAATATAGTTAAATGGAAATGTCAGTCTTAGAGGGGAAAAAGCAACCTTGTTTTTTTTAAAAAAAAAAAATTCAGGCCTTTGGAAAAAAAAGGGAGGAAATCTAACTGAATCGAGGTGGGTCATATTTTTTTCCATGGATATCAGAACTTGATCCACTATGGATTTTGCTGTATGCCAATATATTCAGCATGGTTGTGACTACCAATTCTTTACAGTACTACTGGAAGTGTTACTATTCGACTTGGTCTGCCCAACACTACAGTGTGTGTGTGCAAAAGGCTCCGTTTTTAACCATTTTGAATGCAAAACAGCTACACATATATTTAGCTTAGTTATTAAATTTACCCATTTTAAAAGTTATATAATATGTACTAACCACATGATCTGGCAGCTAATTAAAAATTTAAACAAGTTTAAAGTACAGTTAGGGCTGCTGGTCAACTGAATCTTGTCAAGCAGAGTGTGGCAGAGAAAGGGGTAAATCAAGTCAGCCTGACATCAGTCCCTCAGTTTCCCAGCCTATTTAGCATACTTCGTTCCAAATAAATGGCTACAATATTCTTGGTTACTAAATGAAACCATTTGAGGGATACAGTTTATGAAACATTCACAAGAAAAGTAAGCCATAAAACATAGTAAAAATCAACTATAATTATACTTCACATCTTGCATGAATATGTCTATTAGGTCACTATCAATCCTGGTTTAAATGTATGATGTTAACATAGCCAATGAGTTGTCTATCATGATGGAAGTATGATTAAACTGAATCTAAATAATAATAACAGCATGTGCGTTGGTTTATTTATTTTGTGCAATCCCTTGTGAGTTCCTCATTGGTTGATTCCAGTTATTAAAAACTATAAGCACCAATGACAGGGTTGTCCTCAGGACACATAAAAAGTAGCAGTACTTCCATTCCATCGAGACACATCTGAACTAGTTCGTTTGTACACCTTGTAGATATCCCTGACCTTTAGAAAGGTGATTAGAGAACAAGAACACCATTCACCTGCCTTCATTTGGGGTCCAGCATACCAAGACATGAATCTAGAACCACATTTGGCTATCATTAGAGAATCAGGTAACTTGGCATTTTCAAGGGGGAGCTCTAGAAGGCTCTTTAGCCATAACCTTAATGATCTAGCAACACCATCTGTAAGCATCAGCTTGATGTGCCTCCTGCCTTCTTGGTTAGGCCTTAGTTCCCTGCTTTCGAGTCATGGTTTTCCTCCACCTAATTCTTTGATTGCCTTTCTCCCATTCTAGGTTTAAGAGCAGTGGTGAAATTCAATTTTTTTTACTACCGGTTCTGTGGGCGTGGCTTTGTAGGCGTGGCAGGGGAAGGATATTGCAAAATCCCCATTCTCTCCCCACTCCTGGTGGAAGGATATTGCAAAATCTCCATTCCCATCCCACTCTGGGGCCAGCCAGAGGTGGTATTTGCCGGTTCTCTGAACTACTCAAAATTTCCGCTATTGGTTCTCCAGAAACTGCTGAATTTCACCCCTGTTTAAGAGGGAATAAATCATTATGTTATTAGCTGGCCTAGCACAATAAAAGATGGAGTTGGAAGTGAGGAGGAGCTGGCCAGCTGCAGCTCCTTCCAGGTCCTCAAGAATCAGAGAGCTACTTTATATTCTCACCACATTCTCCTTGGCTGCTAGAACGGGATTGGCACCTGGGTCCTTCATTCTCTTCTTCCTGCATTCTTGAATAGAAAAAAGAAGAACAGTAAAAATGAACCTTGACTTCTGTCTACTCCTTTCCCCTTGCAACATGATGCATTGTTGCCTGGCACCCCTTCTGATCCAAGCTTCAGATATCTCCCCGAAGTGGGAAGACTCAGAGGAATAATACTTTTCAGATTCTATCAGAAGTAAAGCTGCTCATTTCTTCTAACGAACTATATTCATTTCATGAGAGCAATAGTTATTCATGAACTTCCCTGCCAACAGATGGGAGCTGTTGTGCAACTTAGATTACCTTCAAGGGTCATTAGACGAATTCAGGAAGGAGGTGATGGTAGCTGATAGCTACCATACCTGATAGAAATATTGCATTTTCATGATCAAAAGACCCCAAATAAAAAATGCTATCGAACAATAGCAGGAGGATGCTAGTGCCCTCAATATCCTGTGAGTTTCCCCTGGAATTTGGTTAATCCTCTTGAAACAGGTGACTAGGTAGGACCTTTCCATGTTCTTCATATTCCTTGAGATGGGAATTAATTTCCCTCGACTACCACTGAGGAAAGGAGATAAAAGGCAGTTATCTGAAGTCTTCCTTGAAAGTCATTTTAGTTGCAGATCAGCCCCACATCAGTTGGCAATTGACAGAATCAACTCTCATATGAAATGAATACATACCACCATATATTGTCCTTGCCATGAAAATATTTTCCCACTTCCTAATAATGTAATTTTCACATCATTTTTCCCCCAAGATCTGGATCCAAAGTCATCACACTGTACATACAGTGTAGCGACTTGCAAGGGGACAGCCCTGATTCACATAATTAATACTTCCAACAACTACAACTGATTGTCCAGAAAAGCCATTTATGGCACAGAAAGAAAACAGATGCATAAAATATTCTTTATTCTAGACACATTTCCATTTGACTGGAAAGAAAACAAAAGACACCTTTTTCAGCAGGAATAATGTTGGACATACTATTTCTATTCATTCCTAAAACAAAGTATTCAGAAATCCTTCATAGTTGCAGCTTACCAACACAGTCACTTTCAGCCCCTTGTCTCTTTCTTGAAAATATATTTCTAGCCTGAACCTTCCATTGAGAAGAGCAATCACACCACAGTGTTGAGCACATGATTTGCACACAGATAGTGCCAGATTCAATCCCCGACAGCCCCAGTTAAAGTAACTTTGGACAGCAGATTGTAGAGAAGAAAATAAGTCCCTGCCTGATAAGCCAGAAATCCATTCTGAGCCAGTCTGAGTGTCTGGGCAGGCAGACACTTGCTCTCTTGCTCCTGTTCTTTATTTTTGGCACTGACTCTCTTTCACTCCCACAGCTCTTTCTCTTATTCAATATTCCCGTTTCCAAAAGCAACTCAGATTTGATGGCACACATTTTAATCTGGTAAAAAACAGGTTCTTATGGAATGAGGTATAAATTCCTGGGAAATAAAATAATCAGGAAACTGTATACATTAATATATCATTTTCACCCAATTTCATCTCCAAGATCTCCGAAATCTATTAGTTTGGACATCACAGTGTATCAATCATTCAGCACAGTTACTATAAATACTGATCTCTGTTCCTGATCTCTTCCCTCTGATTCCAATCCAAAGTTTACCCAAAACTAATGATGTTTTGCCAGCTGATCTTACCTAATGCCGGTTTCAAGAGATTCAGCTTCTAAAGAAGACAACTGTGGATATTCAAATTCCAGGATTCCAGAATTCTGAATCACCTTCTTGGGAGAAGTTTCATTTTGATGGACTTTGGTGGCCATGACTCCTACCTTATAAATGATAGTCCTCCGGGGTGTAAGTTACAATGGTACACATGCCATGCTGTCAAGTAGCAATAACACACATTGTATAATCATTTACATAATGATGTCATGATACCTGTGACATTTGTTGTGCACACTTGACAAATGGGTGATAAGAAGGAAGAGTGCCCCAACACATGGCACCACATAGCCTATCTTGAAAACAAGGTCAAAGCTGGTTAGTATTTGAATGAGAAATCTTCAAGAAATCCTAGTTCTAGGAAACTTGAAAATGCAGAGAATGGTCAACTACATCTGTCTGACTATCAAGAAAATCACATGTAAGTATCCATGAATTCAGCAAGAACTGATTAAAAAAAAAGACCTTTTAAGGAGGAAAATAACCTTGTGGTCCACCAATAGGTAAGCACAAATCAACAGACAGAATAGACCACAGACTGCCTTCCCATAATTTTTAACATCAGAGTAAGACATCTTATGTGCCTCTTTTGACCAGATACCATGTTTCCCCGAAAATACAACCTGTTCTGAAACTAACCCCTTGCCACATTTTTCGCGTGGGCAAAAATATAAACCCAACCCCGAAAATAAGCCCCCTGAACAACCCCTCCCCCTCCGGCCAGGCAGAGCACCGCTCACCGACCTAGCGGTATCTCGAAGGGACAAAGCCGCGGGAGCCGGGGGGAAAGGCACTCACGTTGCTTGCTGCCTTCGGGATAATACTAGGTTGTGAGTAGCGTTCTGCCTGGCTGGAGGGGGGAGTTAGGGTACAGGATGATGAAATGAAATGTCACAATAAAATTTGGTTAAATGTAGTTAAACTTTGAGTACTATGTATAAGATAAAGTAATAATAGCTATAGTCAAATAAATGATCAATAATGATAATAAAGCATATATACTAGATTGATAATATAAAATTTTATATAAACTGTAAGTGAGGATGATGGAGATGATGTTGAAAATCCTTTTTATAAAAAGATAAATAATTCTATATAGAATAAAATATAAAGATGTAATATCATTGAATGATTTCAGGATGATGCAATGAAACGCCAAAATATAAATTTACTTCAAATTTAATATGCCATGTAAAAAGGATGTAATAATAGTTATGCTTAATGGATGTTTAACAATTATAATAATTTATATAAATGTATATTATATTGATGATACTAATAATGGAAAAAACATGGAATTGAAAAGTATAAGAGAATGTTATTAATGCTAAAATATTAGAATGATTTAGAATAGGATACCAAAAAATTCTTTATTATTGGATATATTGAAGATGATATAATGAATCATTATAATATAAATGGATACATATTTAGAATACCTTGTTTAAAATGGAGAAACAATAGTGATAATTAAACAAATGAAGTACAATAATAATGTATACAAAGATATTTGATTGACAATATGTGATTTTTTATAAAGCTCAAATGATGACTATGGAAAGGACGCAGAAAGATCTTATAACCAATTGACACACTGTATGTAGTTGAAGAGGTTTTTATGTTATATGTTTTGTGTGTTTGTGTTTGTTTGAAAATAAAAATTTTATTAAAAAAATAAAAATAAAATGTGTTGTCTGAGAGTGGCTTAACATAGTTTATAAATAATTAGCATATGTGTGAACATAACTTAATAATTTTCAAATTGCTATAAATTTTAAATCAGCTACAGTAGAGATTTAAGATTTTTTTCAGAATTGGACAGCCAAATTCAAGCCCATTTTCCTCCATTAAAACATGCACGTAAGAAATAAAACTGTAGGGACATTGTGAGCTTCTGGAAAAAAGAAGGGATATAAAGGTAGCACATAAAAATATTACTTGATTTGCTGTCACTGTTTATGGTTGCATAAATCACCATCCCATTCATTTTGAAAACATGAAGATCAAATAAATTCCAGGCAGCACCACAGCCAAGACAATAACTGCTCCCCTGCCCCACTATGAACTAAGACTGCAGATGTTTTAATTAAGTCGGCTTTAAAAAAAAAAGCTCTGGCTTAGCAACACCTTTCATTGCTGAGTTATTAAATACTTAGAGATTCATTTGGAGATCCCTTTAACATTTATGTCTGGGTTTGCCAGTCATTCTCACTTATCTGGGCTCAAAAAATTAGTAGTGCCAAAACCTGCTAAAAATGACCACATCAAAAAGGCATTAAAACATTACAGATTTCAAAATGGCACTTGGAACAACTCATTAATTAAACTGAGATGAAAAACTTTATGGTAGCTGGAAGTGACAATTCCCTTTTATTGTTGTTATTACTGTGAAAGTTGCTGAAGACCACAGTATGACGATACTATAAGGAAATATTTTCTCTGTTCTTCCTGCAACTAGCGATAAATGCATAACTATTTGAGTTGAATGGAGATGTCTATTCAGACGTAATAGATTGGTTTTCTTTAAATGCTTACTAAAATCTACCAGTTTGCACCTGAAATTAAAGTTACAATACAGGCTTGAGTTGAGAATAACAGCCTTTGAAGCCTACAGAATCGGAGGAAGCCTGTACAGTGCAGATTGGCTATCTCTGGTTTAAAATAAAAGTGACTGATAATTTATACCACATCAAAATATAGGGATCAAAATGCCAACCAACCAACAAAAATGAGTCCTTCAAAATGGCTTCTGAATTGCATTGAGGTGGCTGCGAAACAGAATGATTACCTGGGTGAGACACCAGCAGCCTATCAATCAAACCCAGCCATCCGTAAGGAGTGAGCCCATCCTAAATATATTTGCTCTGACATAAACTCTATTGATCTTGGATTAAACTTTCGGTCAAGGATATCTCAGACTGCAGGCTCGTTTTCATTTCCTGTCTGTGATTTAGTTATTAGATCTTCAAGGAGACAGAACCGGCTCTTGTCTAGCCTCACTTCTGATTTCACCTTTAACTAAGCAAGCATTCTGTTTTGAACTATAAAAAAATTGAGATTCAGTATAAACTTTCCTTTTGGACAAAACTCAGCAGCACTCTTTCATGCGGCTATTGACAAAAATAGGATTGCCAACATGATTGCCAACGTCTAACGATGGACTTGGCACAAGAAGAAGAAGAAAGAAGAAGAAGAAGAAGAAGAAGAAGAAGAAGAAGAAGAAGAAGAAGAAGAAGAAGAAGAAGAAGAAACTATCCTCAGTTTAAAATCATTTGTTTTCTAATCATTCAAAGTTACATTGGCACTAAAAAAAATAGTATATGACTGGTCCTCATATTTAAGATTGTTGCAAATGTCTTCCTCAAGGCCATATGATCAAAATTTGGGCACTTGACAACTTGCATATATTTACAACAATTGCAGGATCTCAGGGGCATGTAACTTCCATGTGCAATCTTCCCACCCAATGCTTGACAAATAAAGTCAACAGAAGCCAAATTAACAACCACGTGATTCACTTAACAATTGCAAAGATTCGCTTAACAACCATGGGGAAAAAGTCATTAAATCAGACATAATTCACTTAACAACTATCTTGTGTAATGGAAATTCTGTTTCCATTTATGGTTGTAAGTTGAGGACTACCTAATAATAGATCGCATATTTAATCTGAGTAAAGTCTTGATTTGAACATCTGGCACTAGTAGGAGGCTACTACACTTAATGGCAAATGGTGGGGGGGCACTGAGAAGAAACAGAATGAAAGGATTCTGGATCTATTCAGCACTGGACTTTTATAGCCTGATGCAGTAGCCCTGCTCAAGGTATACCAAAGACATGGACTAGAATCAGGCAGGACAGACAGCTCCTGGGCTATAACAGCCTCCACACTCGCTTGCACCCCCAAATGGGATGGGATCAACATGCTCAATCCAAGAGTCAAAATGTTTTAAGCTTTGCTTAGCGGATTTCCAGGAATTTTCAAACCTGAAAACTCCAAAGCTGCCCCTAGCAAGAAAAGCCCAATAGAAGGGTGAAAAGTTTGCCCCTGCCTATTTTAACCATATCATGGAATCAGTAGTTATGGCATATGCTGCACTTGGAAAAAATTAATTTTAATGTTATGGTTGTTGAATTTTTTTAGTTTAATTCAAAAGAGTGCAGCTGCTAGCCAAAAATAGCTTTTTCCTTATGGTATAAAGCAACCAGTTATAGCTCATTAGGTATTTTTATTAATTCATATGTAGGGTTTAAAAATCATGCCTTCTCCCTGTTATTATTCATCTCCAGCATCTGATATTTGCAAGGGAGTTGCTGCACAGAGCAAGCCTACTCTCTCAACCAGGCGTGTCTTCTTTTAGGATACTCCATCCCATTCCTTCTCTCAACAAACAGCATTTAATAACCACAGAACATGCTTATTTCTCTCTGGGCTATTTTTTAAGCTTTTCCTACTTGAAATTCTTCACACACCAGTCCAATAATTTTTTCCTGAAAAAAATAGGATGGATATATAATGATTGACACCGGAAAGTTTAGTTTGCTTTTACTATTGCAGAAGTGGAAGGGTCTATTAAGCGAGCTTATCTAACGGACTGATCCCATTCTTCCACAAATCCTTTTGAAAATCCATCAAAGCAAATGACTTCCTTCACATCTCATCCCAGTTTATCCCCTGTGGGAAACATCTAACTAAGTCAGTCTTGGATGTTTACGATCGTTGGCTTTTTTAGAAAGTATTATGAGACAGGAAAATTAGAAGATCTTCTCTCTCTGATGTTTGGGTGGGAACTAACTAGAGTTCTTGCTATTTCCTCAAGTTGAGTGGAAAGTATTTAGGAATTCAGCCTTGAGCAGACCTAACTATACATTGAAACACAAGAATACTGATAGGGAATGTGGTAGCAAAAAGAGCCCATTTCAGTCAGAGAGATCTGAGTTGAAAAAATATTTTTCTGGATCGATGAGATATACCACTACTATTCTTCCTTCCATAAAACTGTTTCTTTCATCCTCCAAAAAGCAATAGTTTGTCTGTTGGAGGAGCATTATTTCCTGTAATTGAATGTTTTTCCTGCTGCCAAGTTTTGTCTCTCAC